GGGGATCGCAATGTATATTATGGTTAATACCCTTTTGCAAGCTGAGCATTCCGGGTAGAACCATAAGTTTGGTGCGAAGAGTATGTAATTGATATTTTGGAAGAGCTTTGATAAGGATATCTGTCAGTTGTTGTCGAGATTGTATGTGTTGAAGTTGGATGTTGTTAAGGTTGATGTGATCATGAAGGAAGTGATGATCAATCTCTATGTGTTTGGTTCTAGCATGGAAGATGGGGTCTTAGCCAGAGATATTGCTGAAACATTATCACAGTAGAGACTCGTGGGTTGATCTATCGGATGACCAAATTTTTCAATGAGACATCTGAGCCATAGTACGTCAGTTGCAGCAGTGGCTAGTGCTCGGTATTCCACTTCCATGGAAGATCGAGCAACAATTGATTGTTTCTTCACTTTCCAAGAAATAAGAGTGTTGCCAAGGAATGAGCATACCTCAGTTGTAGACTTCCGGTCGGATAGATCCCCTGCCCAATCAGCATCAACATAGGAGGTAAAATTAGGAGTACCCAGTTCGATAAGCAATCCAAAATGAATTGTTCCTTCGGGGTAGCGGAAGAGATGAATCAGCTGCTTATAATCTGATGTCATAGGTGCATGCATCTTCTGGCATAAACGATTAACGACATATGCAATGTCCGGGTGTATCACAATTAGATATTGAAGTGCTCGTCAATTGACAATACAAGGTGGGATCGTGAAATGACAGAGCTTGAACTGTAGCAGCAGGTGGTTTCACTGGCATAGGAGTGCTGAGTGTTCGGCATTCGGTTAGTCCGGCAGTATCAAGTAGTTAAAGTGCATATCTTTGTTGGCTGAGAAAGTAGTGAGTTGCAGATTTTTGAACATCAATTCCCAAGAGATAGCCTACAGAACCAAGATTTTTAAGCTGAAATTGAGCAGCAATAGTTGCGTCAGCATGGAGATTACAGTCTGTATTATGCTTGTATATAAACAACGAGGGATCTGCTTTGCTGATATGAAAACCCTTTGTAAGAAAGAATTCGGAAAAGGTAAGGAACACTAGGTGGAGCTTGTTTTAGTCTATACAATGATTTCTTAAATAGACACACATTTGTTGGGAATTGTGAATTATGGAACCCCAAAGGCTATTTCATGTATATTGTTTCATTGAGAGCGCCATGAAGAAATGCATTTGAAATATCAAATTGAAGTATGTTCCAATTATGATGGAGAGC